AAATTCCGTCTCAAAAAAAAAAAAAGAAAAATTAAAAAATTAATTGAGTGTGGTGGTGTTGCACGCTAGTAATCCAAGCTACTCAGGAGGCTGAAGCAGGAGAATTGCTTGAACCCAGGAGGTAGAGGTGCAGTGAGCTGACATCATGCCACTGCACGCCAGCCTGGTCGACAAAGCCAGACTCCATCTCAAAAACAAATAAACGAAGAGTATTGAAGTCAAACAAAGTATATTTTCATTTTCTGGGTTTTTTTTTTTTTTTTTTGAGACAAAGTCTTGCTCTGTCGCACAGGCTGGAGTGCAGTGGTGCCATCTCGGCTCACAGCAACCTCTGCCTCCCAGGTTCAAGCAACTCTCCTGCCTCAGTCTCCTGAGTAGCTGAACTACAGGTGCCCACCACCACGCCCAGCTAATTTTTTGTATTTTTAGTAGAGACGGGGTTTCACTGTGTTAGCCAGGATGGTCTCGATCTCTGGACCTCGTGATCCTCCCGCCTTGGCCTCCCAAAGTGCTGGGATTACAGGTATGAGCCATGGCGCCCAGCCTAAGTCGGTAGTTCTTAAAGTATGTTCCGAAGATCAAAAAAGCCAAGTTTTTAAAAGCAGTCCCCATAGGGCTTATTTGACAGAGCAGAAAAAAGTTACTAGAAAAAGGTGCCTTCAAAACAAAGTCAATCCTGAAAAAGGTATAAGTTGCAAACTAAACATTACTAGAAGATTCATTCTTCATTTATTCATCACTATGGCAAGGACTCCACAAAAATACTCAAGTTCTGGCATACATCCTTATATTTTCTACATGAGTATTCTGAAGCTGCTCTGTGACTGCATCATCTTATGAATGACAGCAATAGTCCATTTGACTTGAAGGCAGTAAGTGGAGTAAAAAGCAAAAAGCAAAGTGAAAGAAAGGGCTAATGTCTGTTTATAAAATGAATATTAGGTAAATCTGCAGACAAATTTGTTATCAAATCCCAGTAATAGGGCAGTCCCAATAAACTGAAATTTATTTCACTACAAAACATCCAGAAATGTTTCATATATCAAGCACACTGTCATTAAATTTTCCAAGAGAAACTGCTATATGCCCGAAATAAAGACAAAACTGAAAACCAGAGTAGATAAACAGGCTTTAGTTGCACTTTGGTGGTGGCAGGGCTGTGGAGAACATTAACCAAAGAGCTGGCTTTTTGCTTTGTTTTGTTTTTGGAGGCAGGCTGTCCCTCTGTCACCCAGGATGGAGTGCAGTGGCACAGCCATGGCTCACTGCAGCCTCAACCTTCTGGGTTCAGGTGATCCTCCCACCTCAGCCTCCTGAGTAGCTGGGACTACAGGTGTGTGCCATTCTGTCCAGCTAATTCTTGTATTTTTTGTAGAGACGACACCTCGCTGTGTTGACCAGGTTGTTGCTCCAACTCCTGGGCTCAAGTGATCCTCCTGCCCTAGCCTCCCAAGGTGCTGGGATTACAGGTGTGAGCCACTGCATCCAACCTGAGCTTGCATTTTTAACAATCATACTGAGAACACAATGAAAGGTCTAGGTCTGGAGCCTTTAAGCAGCTGGAACCAAGACCCTTGCCTGAAACCTACAAAAGGACTACAATCTTAGTGAGAGCTGCCTGGGGAAAAAACAAAACACAACTATTCACTGGCAAAGGGAGATCATAAGGAAACGTCTGATAACAGGCCTCATGGTTCAGATTTGACAATCCGAATACATAAAAAATAATCCTTGGCTATTAACAACAAATGTAAAAACTGTCTGAAGGTACAAATCCTTTCATCAGACCCTACAGGATTCCCACAAATAAAACTCTATTGAATACTAGCTAACAATACAAAATTAAGAAACATTAAATACCACATAAAACTTATCCACTTTGACTAATCAACAAAGACAACTGAACCCCCAAATTTTCAGATGATAAAATAAATAATTACTTAACATGATTAAAATTACTAACGGGGTGTGGCCAGGCACAGTGGCTCAAGTCTGTGATCCCAGCACTTTGGGAGGTAGAGGTGGGCGTAAAATTTGAGGTCAGTAGTTCAAGACTAGCCTGGCCAATGTGGTGAAACTCCGTCTCTACTAAAAATACAAAAATTAGCCAGGCATGGTGGCATGTGCCTGTAATCCCAGGTGCTCGGGAGGCTGAGGCTGCAGTGAGCCAAGATCGCACCATTGCACTCCAGCCTGGGCAAGAGAGCGAGACTCCGTCCCAAATATATATAATAAATTTAAAAATAAGGCCAGGCACAGTGGCTCATGCCTATAATCCCAGCACTTTCGGAGGCCGAGGCAGGAGGGTCACCTGAGGTCAAGAGTTTGAGACCAGCCTGGCCAACATGGTGAAACCCCCATCTCTATTAAAAATATAAAAATTAGCCAGGCATGGTAGTGGGTGCCCATAATCCCGGCTACTCAGGAGGCTGAGACACGAGAATCACTTTCACTTGGAGGGTGGAAGTTGCACTAAGCCAAGACCATGCCACTGCACTCCAGCCTGGGTGACAAGAGTGAAACTCCTTCTCAAAAAAATAAAATAAAATAAATAACATAAAATAATTAAGGGGGCTTTTTTTTTTTTTTAATGTAAGGGAAAAGACTGGGTGTGGTGGCTCATGCCTATAATCCTAGCACTTTGGGAGGCCAAGGTAGGAGAATCGTTTTTGTCTAGCAGTTCAAGATCAGCCTGAGCAACATGGCAAAACCTCATCTCTACAAAAAATTAGTCATATATGGTGGTGCACACCTGTATTGCCAGATACTTGGGAGGCTGCGATGGAAGGATCACCTGA